ATTCCGTCGTGGTTCGAACGAGGCCGAACTTAAATTATCGTCGATGGCCTTGGCCATTGGGATGTTGCTTCGAACTGTCGTTGAAGTAGAATCCTATCGTGGTTCAAACGAGGTCGAGCTTAAATTGTTGTCGATAGCCTTGGCCATTGGGATGTTGCTTCGAACTGTCGTTGAAGTAGAATCCTATCGTGGTTCAAACGAGGTCGAGCTTAAATTGTTGTCGATAGCCTTGGCCATTGGGATGTTGCTTCGAACTGTCGTCGAAGTAGAATCCCGTCGTGGTTCAATCGAGGTCGAGCTTAAATTGTTGTCGATGGCCTTGGCCATTGGGATGTTGCTTTGAACTGTCATCGAAGTAGAATCCCGTCGTGGTTCGAACGAGGTTGAACTTAAATTATCGTTGATGGCCTTGGCCATTGGGATGTTGCTTCAAACTATCGTCAAAGTAGAATCCCGTCGTGTTTCGAACGAGGTCGAACTTAAATTGTTGTCGATGGCCTTGGCCATTGGGATGTTGCTTCAAACTATCGTCAAAGTAGAATCCCGTCGTGTTTCGAACGAGGTCGAACTTAAATTGTTGTCGATGGCCTTGGCCATTGGGATGTTGCTTCGAACTATCGTCGAAGTAGAATCCTATCGTGGTTTGAACGAGGTCGAACTTAAATTGTCGTTGATGGCCTTGTCCATTGGGATGTTGCTTTGAACTATCGTCGAAGTAGAATCCCGTCGTGGTTCGAACGAGGTCGAACTTAAAATTTTCGTCGATGGCCTTGGCCATTGGGATGTTGCTTCGAACTGTTGTCGAAGTAGAATCCCATCGTGGTTCGAACGAGGTCGAACTTAAATTGTCGTCGATGGCCTTGGCCATTGGGATGTTGCTTCGAACTTTCGTCGAAGTAGAATCTCGTCGTGGTTCGAACGAGGTCGAGCTTAAATTGTTGGAGACGGTCATATTCCCCTAGGAAGACATCACATGTCGATTAGTGGAGATCTGGTTCCATACATATAATGGAGATTTGATTCCGTACATACAATGGAGATTTGATTCCATAAATACAATGGAGATTTGATTATCTATATGTAGTCCCTTCATTACTTCGATCTGGAGGTCACATCGACGGGTCGATGTAATGAACAACACATCGCTCCTTAAGGCATCCCCCTTGCTGCCTCGTTATAAACCTCCCCGGGAAAACCCGATTGAGACAAACCCAGGTGAGTAAAAAAGAGTACGACATAGGTGATACCTTTTAGAAGTGGAAATACTTGAGATGGGTGACGTTCCAATTGTTTTGGAGCAGTTTTCCCTCCATTGTTTCTAGCTGGAACGCTAATTTGCTTGTTGCTGCTACAATTTTATATGGTCCATCCCAGTTCGTCCCTAATTTTCCTTCATTAGGGTCTTTTGATGCTTGTGTTTTGGCCTTGAGGACGTAGTCGCCAACTTTGAGTGGTCGCACCTTGGCTCTCTTGTTGTAGTATCTTTTTACTTGCTGCTTCTGGGCTACCATTCTTATATGGGCCATGTCTCTTCGTTCTTCAACTTCATCTAGATCTTGTAGCCTACTTTCATCGTTGCCTATTTCTCTCTTATTAGAGTATCTCAAGCTGGGCTCCCCGACCTCGACGGGTATAACTGCGTCGATCCCATAGACCATTGAGTATGGCGTTTCTCCTGTGTTGGATTTTGGCGTAGTGCAGTATGCCCATAATACTTTAGGTGGTAGTTCAGGCCATATCCCTTTAGCTTCCTCAAGCTTCTTTTTCAATATGTTCAGTATTACTTTATTAGAGGACTTGGCTTGGCCATTGGCGGCAGGGTGATATTGCGTGGAGAGTATTCGTTTGATGTGCCACTTTTCAAAAAATTCAGTCGTTCTTTTTCCGATGAATTGAGGTCCGTTATCGCAGCTGATCTCCTTGGAGATGCCAAAACGGCATATAATATTTTTCCATATGAAGGTGATGACCTCCTGCTCACGTATCTGAGTGTATGCACCTACTTCCACCCATTTAGAGAAGTAGTCAGTTAAAACCAAAAGGAAGCGTACCTTACCTCGCCCTGCTGGGAGGGGGCCGACTATGTCCATTCCCCATTTTATGAATGACCATGGAGAAATGACGGAATGAAGGAGTTCTCTTGCTTGATGTATCATAGAGGCGTACTTTTGACATTGCTTGCATCTTCGGACATAGTTCGCGGCTTCTTTTCTCATGGTAGGCCAGTAGTAGATAGCATGGATAAGGCATCGAACGAGGGCGCGATTTCCCGTGTGGGCGCTGCAGTGCCCTTTGTGTACTTCTTCTAGTACTCGTCTTGTTTGATGTGGTCCCAGACATGGCTAGGGGGCCGCCAAACGTTCTTTTGTAGAGGTCATCGTTTACTAGGCTGTATCGGGCTGCCTGTACCCAGAGCTTTTTGGCTTCTTTTTTATCTTGCGGGAGCGTTCCATCCTGTAAGTAGGCTACGAAGCAGTTACGCCAGTCCCAAGTTAGGTTTAGAGAATATACCTCGACGTGGTCTATTGCAGAATGAAGGAGGGTGACCACATTTTCTTTGTTGATATTCCTGGTGGCCCTAGCTAGTTTGGCGAGGCCGTCTGCTTCAATATTCTGCGCCCTGGGTATTTGGTCGAGGCGACATTCATCGAATTCTGGCAGCAGTTTGTGGATTTCCAACTGGTATCTTTGTAGTCCCTGCTCTTTGATTTGGAAAGTCCTGGTGACTTGATTCACAACGAGTTGAGAGTCACAGTGGAGGACGAGTCGTCGGGCGCCATATTTGAGGGCTAACTTTAAACCTACAATCACAACCTCATATTCGGCCTCGTTGTTAGTCATCTCGGGGCATCGTATGGATTGGAGAATTACTTCGCCCGTAGGAACCTCGAGGACGAGTCCCAGTCCCAATCCCGAGGCATTAGAGGCACCGTCAGTGTAGAGGACCCAGAGGTCGGTATGCGTAGAAGCGCGGAGTGCTTCTTGTTCTGCCTCGGGCAATATCTCTGTGCTGAAATCAGCGACGAAGTCGGTGAGCACCTGCCACTTCATGGCAGTTCACAGTTGCTATATTATGTTGTGCTTGATTAATTCTATGGCCCATTTGGCAAGTCTACCCGATAGTTCGGGTTTGTGCAGGACACCTCTTAGTGGAAAGGTTGTTACCACTTTTATGGGGTGACATTGAAAATATGGTCTAAGATTTCGTGAAGCCGCGACCAGTGCCAGAGCTAGTTTTTCAAGGTGAGGGTACCTTGTCTCGGCATCGATTAAAGTTTTGCTGATATAATAAATTGGAGATTGCGTACCTTTATTTTTACGGACCAAGAGTGCACTTACTGTGACTTCGGAAACTGCTAAATACACAAGCAGACACTCACCTGGATCCATTTTGACGAGTAGTGGTGGCGAAGACATATACACTTTTAGTTTCCCAGTGCGTCGACACATTCCTTGTTCTATTGCAACTCGTGGTCTTTTCTCAGCACATTGAAGAATTTGTGGCATATGTCCGAGGATCGTGAAATGAACCTTGTTAAGGTGGCTATTCGCCCTGTTAGCTTCTGCACCTGCTTTTTGCTGGTCAGTACCTCTGGTATTGCATTGATGGCTTTGATTTGATCCGGGTTGACTTCAATTCCCCTTTGCGACATGAGGAAGCCAAGGAATTTTCCTGAGGTTATGCCGAAGGCGCACTTCTCGGGATTTAACTTCATCTCGTACTGCCTTAATATCTCGAAGGCTTCCTTCAGATGGCTAATGTGGTCCTCCTTCTTTGTCGACTTTACCAGCATGTCATCGATATAGAACTTCATGGTCTTGCCGAGCTGCTCTTTGAAAATTTTGGTGACTAACCTCTGTTACGTGGCCCCTGCATTCTTGAGTCCGAACGACATCACTTTATAGTAGTACGTTCCTTGGTGAGTGATGAAAGTCGTATTTTCTTGATCTTCTTCAGCCATTAGAATTTGGTTGTAACCGGAGTAGGCGTCCAAGAAGATCAGTAATTCGTGCCCCGCTATCGTATCGATCAGTTAGCCGATATGGGGTAACGGGAAAGAGTCCTTTGGGCATGCTTTGTTTAGATCGGTGAAGTCAACACATATTTGCCATTTCCCGTTCTTCTTTTTGACCATGACAATATTGGCGACCCATTAGGGGTATTTCAATTCTCTGATGGAACCGTTGGTGAGTAATTTATACACCTTCTCGCTGACCACCTCATTGATTGCGGCATTGAACTTTCTCATCATTTGCCGTATCAGCGGATAGAGTGGGTCATCATTCAGTCTATGAGTGGTGATGTCCTTTTGGATTCCTGGCATATCTGAGTGGGAGAAAGCAAATAGATCGACGATGTTAGTTAAAAATTCTCGATACTTACCTGGTTTCGAGAGGTTGTGTCCTATGTAAGCCTTTTTTGTGTTGTCGGTGTCGTCCAATTGGACGGGGTCAAGATCCTCTATAGTTGCCTTGCAAGCTTTTACGATATTCGGGTCTTTGATGGCCTCTGTTTGTAGGTCGGGTTTAGTTCACGGGATGGCTGATTGTTATGCCTTCATACTTGCTCCTTTAAGTTGTTTGGTGTATGTGCAATCTTGGGCGATCCGATAACATTCTTGGGCGGTGCGTGGCTCGCCTCGGATGCTGAGTATCCCCCATGGGGTGGGAAATTTGATCACTTGATAGAAGCTTGAAGGGATGGCTCGCATGGCGTGTATCCATGGTCGCCCAATGATGGCGTTGTAGGCTGTTTCCTGATTCATGATGTGGAATGTTGTTTCCAGGGTGACCCCTCCTGCTAGGAACGGTAGCACTATTTCTCCAGATGACCGCTCTACTTATTAAAACCCATTAGTGTTATGCAATGCGGTATTATTTTATTCTCGAGCCTCATTTGCATGAGAACTCGTGGGTGAACAATACACGTTCTGCTTTCGTCATCTACCATGATTCTTTTTACATCTGTATCAGCGATGCGTAAAGTTATAACCAAAGCATCATAGTGAGGGAAACAAACCGTCGGTATCTGACTTATCAAAGATGATACTGTCTTCGAGGTCATCATACCATTCGTGGGCGACTGTCCGTTTGAGTTTGTGCATGGTGGTGAACTTCACATGGTTGATTACCGTGTCTTCGCCGCCGCCAATGATCATTTGTACGGTACGTGCTGGTGATGGTGGCTTTGGAGGTCCTTGAGATGGGTCGTGCCCTCGAGCGAAGTTGGCCCGCCTTTTATCGCTGAGCAGTTCTTTTAGGTATCCTTGGTTCAACATCCTAACTACTTCTTGCCACAGACCTATGCAATCTTCGGTCTTGTGTCCTCTTTCTTGGTGGAATTCACAGAGGACACAATTTTTACGGTACGTGGAATTCACGTTTGACCTCCTGGTGCTTGGGTCCGATTTCATTTTTTGCGGCCACTGCACTTTCGTGCCCAGCTTCTCAAGTACGTACACTATCTTTAAAGGGGAAACACAAAAGTTATGAGCAGATAGTAGTGAAGGCATACCTCTCTCGTTTTGGAGGGGTGCAGTGTGTCGTAGCACGACATCTACATATCTTGGAGGGGGAGGGTTGGATGTTCGGGCATAGGGCTGATGCCTTTCTCGATTGAAATGTGGTGGTTGATCTCTTTGCCCATCGTTACGTCGATCTCTCCTCGCCTCGGTCTGGACTGATGTTAATCGCTGAATCGGGTTGTTTAGATCGTCCTCATCTGCCCTTACCTCGGCGCAGGCGTTGTGGATCTTTTGCCATGTGGTGGGGGTACTTCATGAGTCTACTAAGCAGTTTTTTGGTTGCCTTTGATCCGTTCCCGTTTAACCTATTTTGAAAGGCTACTACTGCCATCCCTTCTGACACGTTCGGTAGGCTCATCCTTACTCTATTGAATTGGGCCAGGAAATCCCGAAGTCCCTCGCCCGTCGTTTGCCTGACAGCAAAGATATCATTGACCCTAGCTTTAGCCTTTTTCGCCCCTGCATGAGTGGTGGCAAATTTATCTGCCATCTCTTCGAACGTCGATATTGATCGCGCTGGTAGCTGGGAATACCATGTCAATGCTCCCCTTGTCAAGGTCTCACCGAACCTTTTTAGCAGCACAGATGGTACCTGTTCCCTTGATAGATCGTTGCCCTTTATCGCAGTAAGATAATGGATTAGGTGATCCTCCAGGTCCGTGGTCCCATCGTATATTTTCAAGTATGGCAGCATCTTGAAGGTTTTTGGAATAGGATAAGGAGCAGCCCCTTCGCTGTATGGCTGTTCGACGGATCGACCCACATCGCATTTTGGTAGTAGCTTCGAAGCGCCTCGTATTTTGTCAACCCTCTCCTGATGCTCCTTCATTTGGTCACGGAGTGTTTTGTTCTCATTTTCCATCTCTTCCATTTTCTTTAAGATGGCCATGAGTGTATCGTCACCTGTATTAGTAACAGCGAAGGTGTTACCCGTTCGTGTAGCGCTCGGCTCGTTGGTGGTAGCTGAGATTTCTGTAGGTGGCAAGTCTTCAACATCTCCTTGAGGAGGTTTCTCGAGCATGTTGCTTAAAGCACTTGTCAACCATTCTTCTGGCAGCTTTTTGACTACTGGTGGTGCTTCCCCCACCGTGGACGTTGAGGATCCCGTTTCGCGCAAGATCGTTAGATCCCCGTGTGGAAGAGGTGAGATCTCCCCCTCCGGTGTATCTCTTGGTATTATATTCTCAGTGTCTTCTCTACCGGCTTCGTTGAGGGAGTTCAGGAGATTATTTGAGACATCTGCTATCGCCTTCAGCCTCGCTTCCTTCTCCGCCATTGTTGGTTTTTATGAGGTTTGAAGAAAAGTAATCGTCACTTTCAAGAACCTAGATGAGAACTATGATTTTAGCTATAGAAATCCCTACAGACGGCGCCAAATTGTTTGACTCAAAAGATTGTAAAATCTTTTTGAACAAATCAATCAAAAGATGAAGGGGTAAATCGTAGTTGAAGATAATAAACTCTAGGATGATAGTAATAGAGAGAGAGTATCTTTTCATTCAAGGTTCGTCTGTTTTTTTCTTGTCCCCCCTATTACAATATTTTTGATCCTCTTATATACTAGAGAAGAATCCCTCTTAGTTGTAAAAATAAAAATATAAAGAATCTTTTATGGAATATTCTTAATGTCCCCTAAGAGATTTACTCTATCGCAACGGTTGTAATATTTCTTCTTTTGCCCTAAGGTCATATCCTTGGGGCGTCGACTCGGAGATACCCGGTCGTTTGTCATGCTCATTATAGGTCATGGTTGGTCAAATTTGGACCCATACACTATCACCTTGGTTTTAACTCTACCTTTTAAAGAAAATTGTTTGTTTCAAAAGGTATCCAAAGAAATTTAGGGGAGAATGAGCATAGCACAAAAATTTATAATATTTTTTCCTTTCAAGAAGTTGCCCATAATGACCTAGTACATGCGTCTTTTGACTAGTAGATGCTTTCCATTGTAAGAAAATGCTTATCAGTTTAAAAGAATTTCGAGGTCAATTTCTTTTTTCCCTTACAGCTTGTTTGGATGATTGTTACATATCATTTTATAATGTATCATTTTGTATTGCACTGTATTATGCTATATATTTTTATTTATATAATGTTTGGATAGATTATATCGTTTGCCGTCATTTCATGATGTCACACATCAATAATATAAAGAATAATCGTACAACATAATAAGAAAAAATAAGATACATAGTATAATTATTGTATAAAAAAGTAGGGTAAAGGATATAATTATTTAATAATAAGGATGAACAAGATGAGAGAAAAAAGCATGGTAACGATGTCACCGCACCAAATCCGTTGTCTCATAAAATGGCACTTTTCGTCATTACGTAACGACGAATTTAACTATGTGATACAATAAAATTAATGTAACAATCAAAATAAATATTGTAGTTAAAATAACAATAAGGTACAATACAATAGGTAACAACCATCCTGCATATAGTGACATGAAGTAAACAGAGGGGAAATTAACCAATTCTTGTTAGTACTATAAAGTTAACCCCAATTTATTTGTCAATTATATTTACCTTATGTTTTCTGTTTTGCATTTACAATAAATATTTTTTTTAAATAGGAATGTAGCTATTGGATTGCGGCAAAATTGGTTAATTTGAAACTTGACCGGGGATGGTCATACTTGGCATGCAGTGTAGTCGAAAGGTTGATAAAGTTGGAAATAAATACTTTTGTAAGAAATACAATAAAGAAGAATTTTCATTTACTCACAGGTAATTACTATTTATGTATATTTAAAATCTTCTATCTATAAACAATATGCATAAGGTTAATCAAAATTGAGTTGCAGGTATAGGCTTCAAGTTCGTGTTATGGATAGAACCGCTTTTATCTCATTGTTGCTTTGGAATCGCGAAGCTATGCAGCTTATAGGGAAGTCCGCAAAAGAACTTAAGGAAAGATTACTTGAGGTATACTACTAAAGTTAATTTGATTAACCATAAAAATATTTCTAACCTATAAAATTTGGTGTAGAATTCACTTGCGGTTGCTGACTGTTCTTATCCAAGTGAACTGGACGATATTCTTTATAAAAAAATTCATGTTCAAGGTTATTATTAAGCAAGAGAATATTGAGTCTCAGGTCGAAGTCTACAAAGTTCTTAAGCTTACTGATGATGATGACCTTCTAAAGGAATACAACCACAATTTATTCGAAGACAATATCACTGTAAATTTTTTTAACTCACAAACCTCCTCATACAAAATTTAAGTATAAATAATTTTGCACTCATAGAATGAATGTTCTTTTTAATTTCTGCTTAACAGGATCCACAGTTTTTTGATGGACAAGCTCAAGTGGAGATAAACTTTTTGGGGTAAATTTCATGAAATTTAAACTTTTACAACATTATTTATCTATTTAACAATTATTAGTCAAAATTATGAAACTAACAACAGTATTGCTCTCTAACTACTATTAAACTTTTTTGGCTTTTCGAAGGATCTAATGGCCGAAAGTCAGCTGAAGTCTGTTTTGCAAACTCCCATCGAGAAAAGCTTATCAGAAAGTGGATCGTCGGTGTTAGAAGATGGTGATGCTTGCAATGTAAAAATATCTCCTTTGAAGACGTATGACAAGAAGACTAGATCTGCTAATAAGGCATTAGCAGTAGGACCAGATGATGACTTCAATTCTCAACTCTCTAGCAACAAGGTTCGTAGAGTCGTAAAGAAAGAAAAGAATCTCTGATTGGTTTTACTGAAATGCCTCTAGCTATGCAATTATATATTTTGTACTTATGTCGAATGCATGTGTTGCTGTTGATATGTGATCTGGTGAAATGACTCTACCTATGCAACTTCATATTATCTTTATTAATCATGAATTCAGTTATTACTTATGTCGAATGAATGTGGTGCTGTTGCTATATAATTTTGCTATCTGCTTCATTATTGGTTGTGCTTTAATTTTTGGCTCATTGTTTGGTGTTAGAATTTTAGTGAAGGATTTGTGGTCACAATTTGATCATAATTTTATTAGCATACGCTCAAAGTTAGATTGGCATTGATGCAACATAAAAGTTGATATGTCAAGCTGGTTGGGTCAATGAGAATGTTCTTTTATTTGTTGAGAGGAAAAGAAATTTCCTCGAGTTTAATCGATGTAGTTATCTTGCGTGACTATATTTGTATTGAGGGTAAGAAAATGCAATTTGATATAGAAAAACTATTCTATCATTTATGGTGGATACATACACAGCCTATAGTAGTTTCACACAGACACTTATGTCATAAGAGGGATAGAGCTAAGAAGCATAACCCAACTCTTGAAGCTTGAACTTAGATTTTAATAAGAGGAATGTATATCTTTTAGTTTTGTAAAAGGCCTCTCTCTCTTAGTTAGACTTCTAAATAGCAATGCGATAAACTGATAATTTATACAGAAATATGCTTCTCTTTTAAGTGCACACTATTAGAATTGTCCATGTTCTTTTGGTGCAAAGTGTTAGATGTGTCCATGTACTTTAAGTCCAGTGTTATCTGTGTCCAGTTTATTCAGGTAGGTATGGAGTAGGTAGTTTACAACTTATTATAAAAAAATAATATGCCAATGGTTTAGGAACATTTTGTAGCTAATCAAATACCAAAGTAGGTAAAAGATCATTTCTTTTACTATCGGCAAATCAGAATGGGGAGCAACTGTTATCCACAGCATACGGTATCCACAGCATATGTTCTGCTCAAATGTCCCTTAAAGGAATTTATATCTACATGAGCCACTATTTTTTGCAGTAATATATCAACATCCTAAATACCCTTCACTAAAACCTACTATTTAAACTCAAAAGTAAACCACGTTCCTGATAAATAACTAATTCGTCAGCTTAAACTGAACCAAAATCATGGATACATACATGTTGTGCAGGTTTGGGAAAAAGATAGATGCCCAAGCCATGTTATTAAACTAAAATGCAGAAGTAACTACAAAAGACATGGTCTTCACATACTAATAACTTGATACATAGTTCGAAAGATAATTGAGAGAAGCATCCACTGGAAGTTACTTTGATATCTCCTTTAAGCGCCATTATGAATGCAACACACATTTTAAATCCCCGTATTAAGCTTGTATTGAGAAATACAGCAACGTGTGAGGTGTTCATAGGTGCAACAAGGGAATCATCTTTCCCTTACATCATTTCCCAAAGGTCCATATAACTGATGCTACATTACTTTGGCTAATTACATGTTTGAGTGGAGCAACTAAAATTTTGTTTAGGCTTGATAGAATTTATACTACAGAGCACACTAAATTTACGATACACACACATAACTAGTTGGAGATGTACATTGCTTTCTCTTCGCCACCAAAATAACTCAACTTCTGATGTTCACACGATTGCAGAAAGCTTAACGGAAACATAATACAGTAGTTAATAGTAGCAGCTTATAGCATTCCTATCTTCTTCTTGCTTCCAATCATCGTGCTTCACAAATTCAGCATTTCCATAAAAAAGAAAACTAAATCAACTGAATTAATCTCTGCAGAGCACTTTGTGCACTTGAAGTTGAATCAGAACATTCCTGTTCCTCAGTAGTTTGCGTAAATTGAATTATAATCATGTAGATTAGCATTTATACATCACAACAACAACAAAGGCAATTCATGTTAGCGACAAAAAAAATAAAAAGGGTAGTTACTCTTGATGAGCAGATTACTTCAATTTAACTAACAAAAGTAGTCAAAAAAACAGGCCAAGAATTACTATCTAATCTAAAAAGGATAGGGGACAAGTATTCCAAAAATATCATCTCGGACGTCGCTGGAACCAATGGAATACGTTGGATTTGTAAGTCCATGTGAGGCAAGACACTCTCATATTCTTTATACCCTTT